GCGCAGTCGACCGAGTGCGATGAGCCAGCCCGGGGCCCATAGAGCAGCAATCATCCGGCGTAGTGCCCGAGCGATGCACCGCCCGAACCTCCGGGGCCCCGGCCAATGCAGCAGGCGCTCGAAAGGCCCCATACACATCTGGCCAAGGCATACGTTTAGCAGCCTCAGTACTAGAACCACAAAGCTCCAAAATGAAGTAGCCGGAAGTTGAAGCAAAAGCCACGTGCAGCGAGCGTCGGCAACCTCACCAACTAAGAGCGGCGCAAGCGCCAACAGCTGGCTTGCCCTGCCGAGGAAAAACAGCACTGCGTCGTCAAAGAAGGTGCCGCCCAGACTGCGCGAGGTACGATCAATATCCTGAACACCTGCCTGGGAATTGAACGCAGCGCACGCGGCCGTCGGCGCCCTCGAGACGACGCCCAGCGAAAGCCATTTTTCTCGGACCAGGTCCACCGTGGAAGCCACGACAAAGTTGATGACCACGTCCCCATGGTGATGCCCCAGGCCCGAACCGACTTGGGGAAAGGCCACAGGCGCGGCATGCGGCATACAAAAAAACGATGGGGCGCAGGCATCGGCAACCTGAGCGCACTCGAGGGGCGCCACGCCCCTTGGTTCCAGAGGGGAGGGCGGGGAAACCATAGAAACAAAGCAACTTGGCCAGGGGCTCGTCATCACGGGGCGCCTGCATCACAATATGCCGAACCGACTTGCAACGCGCCTTGACGACGTCAACGAAAAGCAAAACTACCGACGCAGCACGCGCAAGAGCCAGCTGCTGAAAAAAGACGCAGTTCTACTGCGCCAAACTCCATGCCCCGACCAGGGAGACCCCATGCTGTCGTTCGCCTGCGAATGTGGCGAGTGTCTCGACAACCTCCTGTCGAATCAGGCCACGACGACGCACGCGCATCTGCGAGGATCCCAGGACAGGTCTGCAACACCCAGTCTGAGACATCAACCCCGATTACAGAGGGACCAATCAAAACCTTTTCCCACTGCCACGGCTCACACACTCGAACTAACGATTTGGCAGTTAGGGGATCGATGTACTTGACAGCCAAATCGCCAGCGAAGACGCCATTTTGCCTGGGACCCCGCGGGGGCCAGCGGCTGAGGCTGTAGTTTCGGCAAAACTCGACGCGCTGAGGGCTAGGGGCGGCAGCCGCCCAGGAGAAAGAAGCACGGTAAACAGAACCATTGGATGCCGTCGCGGCAGATGCCCCAAATAACGAAACCAAAGCAGGTGTGGGAGCTGGAGGAGCAACCCCTCCCATCCCGAAGTTGCCAACTCCCTGGTTCGCAACCAATTCAGAACCTATAAAAAAAGGCAGCGGCCGCGCAGACCGCGCGCGGCGGGGGCGCGCGACCGCGGCGCGCAGCTCGGCACGAGCGACTTCGACTCCTCGCGACGCCGGGCGCGCCCGATGGACACGCCGACTCTGCCCCGGGAGCGCGACGGCAACAGATCAATTCCACCGCGCCCCCAGCGCAAACTCGGCAACCTCGCCGCGCGGGGCGCGGCCGACGACGACGACGAGCCTCGAAACTAGATGGCCATCGAAGAGATGGGCGACCGAGACTCGGCGAAGAACTCGGCGATGCGACGCCCCCACCTTGGTCCCAGGCAGAACGCGTCGAACAAGATCCACCTGCGACGATAGCCACACCTGCCCCCCTTACTACAGCAAGCGCGAATCACGCGAGCAGAACCTATATTGGATGCCCCGCTCCGCGGGAAACGAGCCCCCAGGGCCCCGACCTGAAGCGCGCCCCGCTCGTGGAACATGTCGCCCAGGAGGAATCGCATGCGCCCAGACAAATGCACCCCCGCGAACCGCCCAGGTTCAGACCGAGCACGTGCCTCAGGAGCAAACGTGAGAAACTTGGCAGAAACCACCCAGACAGGCCCCGAACACAAAACTTCGCCAGCTGGCGCGCTGGCGTGAGAGCTGACATCGGTAGCTTCGGGCATGTCACGCACTAAGCCAAGCTGAAATGCCCGCGGGGCCAGCGCCTAAACAATCCGGCGTTATCTGCTGCCCTCCAGGCGGCGGGAACTGGACCTGAAAACTCCGGGGGGCTAAAAACCAACACGCCCGACCATGCTCGGCTGGATTCTGCTAGACAAATCACCAGGCACAAACAGGAATGACCATGCTAGAATGCCCCATGGAAGCAAGCGCGGCCACCGCGCCCACAGACTCGTTCCAGGGGTGGCGCGGATGTCCCAGGACATGGCCCCACTAGAACTTCGGATATAAAACCTTGGCCACCTTAGCAAGACCATCTAAGGCCCAACGCAGAGGACTAAGTGAATCGCGGAAGGAGCCACCACTAGCGATCCGGAATGCTTCCTCGCAGTCGGCCAAGAGTTAAAGTCACTCTCCAGTCGGCATGCGCACGTTGACTGAACCGCACCCGAGCCCACTGAGCGGCAATAGTCTCAGAAGGCCAGCGCCATAATACTAACGGGAACCACGTCAGAATCCTGGGCTCTGGGTAGGCATCCCAGAGCGAGCTAGTGCCCCGTAGCATTGCGACAGAAGACAGCAAAGGCCCAGGCAGGGGGCCCTCGACCACGACGGGCCCCCGAATCACCCGCCCCCCAGGCCCAAAACGAGATCCCCAGAACCGCTCGCCCAGATATGGATAAGACCCACATCGCCCAACTCCCCCCATGTAGGCAACAACGGAAGCTCAGCAACGGTGGACGAGCGCTGACACGCTGTGAATTGCCAGTAGTGCCTGCAGAGACATATGAACCAGGGCCTAAGCAAGCGATCCAAAACCGACGGCGGCATGGGGCTACGCGAGCACCGCCTGATTTTGAAGGCGCCTCCCCCGCGCGGCGAGCAGCGCGGCGGCGCGCCCAAGAGGGGGGCAGCGGCAGGGGCGCGGGCAGGGACCTAGGACCATGGCCCGACAGCTGCGACTCCACCCACCCCCCCGTCGGGCCATGGAAAAAACGGGCTGGGCAGCGGCAGCGCCCGCGGCGCCGCTCGCGTGATCGGCAGCCCCCCTGCTGGCGGACCTCCAGCAGCATGGGCTCGGCCATCCCCGACCAGCAGGCTGCCAGACGGACTGTCCTTCATTTCGTCGTCGCCGGGCTCATCCGGGAGGCGCTGCGACTTGCGGAGGGGGGGGGGGGGGGCGGGGAAGGGGAAGGGCGGGGGGGCCTGATCCGCGCCCGCAACATCTCCAGCAGGACGAATCATATTGACTATACCTGGCGCGCTCGCCACGGCGCGCGGCCAAGCGCGGTCTCGTTCCTGCGGTCGCTGCGGTTTGCCTCCGCCCTTGCCCGCCTCGGCGTTCGCGGCGCCCGGGGCCCGGGCATCTGGGCAGCCTCGGGGGGCGCCGTCGACTGATGGCGCATCGGCGCGACGCTGTTCTTTCTGCATGGCCTGCAGCGTCTCGCTCGTGGACGCGAAGCGGGTCACCTGGGAAGCCTGCCCCTGCTGCACCTCGACAATCACCCGCGGGAGCGCAGCCGACGTCGTAGAAGCACTGGCGGCACTGCACGGAGAAGCGAACACGGAGCCCCTCGACATGTTGCCTGCAGCAGACTCCGCCTCTGGCGCCACGAAATCGACCTGCTTGGCAGCGGCATCTGCTGCCTCCGCTTCAGCGAGCTCGAACTCCTTCAGCGTCGCGGCAACGTGTAACAAGCCGTCCTCGCTGGCCTTGCAGTTGAGAGACGCAGCAGCCAGGACTGCAATGGCCTGGTTCTCCTCCTCCTCCTCCTCCTCATCCTCCTTCGCGACCTCCAGACTCTTGGAAGCCTTTTCCACGCGCGAGCGCCGGTACTGCGAACTCTCCTAGGCGGGGTGTGCGAACAGGCGCATGAGCTGCAACGCTGACGGCTGAATCTCGCTCTCTTGGATGCGCGCCACGTTCGACTTCAACTCCTTCAAAGACAGGTGCGCGGCGCATCCCAAGCACGGAGACTGACTCTTTGACATGACGCCGATGCTTGGCACGCTCTGCGTTGCAAGCTGGCGGGTCGACCCAGGATGGACGCGCCTTGGCGGCCTTCAGCGTCGCCACCGAAGCAGCCTCTATGCCCGCGGTGGCCCGATTATCACTCTGGGACCCAGGCAACTTGGATTCCTTTCATCCTTCTGCGAGGGGCCCTCGGACACAGAACGAGGCCTCGAGGCTGAACGACCTTGCCATCCGCACCATCGGGAACAACTGGCCAACACTTCATACACCAGGCAGACAAAGCAAGCTGTCCAGCACCACAACTTGAGCAACATCAAGGCCCTCGAACGAAGCTTCTCGAACTTATGCGCTTGTCTCCCATAGCACTGTGATGAACATCCAGCAGCTATCTTGCTCGAGCAACACAGATCAGCGAGCGTGCAAGGGAACGGCGCCCACGAACGCGCCGATGCCAACCTGGCTCGTCCTTGCGGCGGCGGGCACGCCCGCGTGACGTCGTGACGTGCGCTGGCACACCGCACGGTCGGCCCGCGATGTCTGCGCGGGGCGGCGCGCGCAAATGCTAATCCCGAGCGGGGACGGCGGCTGGACCACAAGCCTTGAGCGGGGACGGCGGCTGGAGGAGGGAGAAGGGAGGAGGCAGGAGGGAGGAGGGAGGAGGGAGGAGGGAGGAGGGAGGAGGAGGAGGAGGAGGAGGAGGAGGAGGAGGAGGAGGAGAGGGAGAGGAGAGGAGGAGCAGGAGGAGGAGGAGGGGGAGGAGGAGGAGGAGGAGGAGCAGGAGCAGGAGGAGGAGGAGGAGGAGGAGGAGCAGGAGCAGGGGAGGAGGAGGAGGAGGAGGAGGAGGATAGGAGGAGGAGGAGGAGGAGGAGGGGAGGAGGAGGAGGAGGAGGAGGAGGAGGACGAGGAGGAGGACGAGGAGGAGGAGGAGGGGGAGGGAGCCGAAAGGAGGCAGGAGGAGGGGAAGGAGAGGCAGGAGACGGGGGGAGACAGGACGCGAGGAAAGGGGGAGAACCCCGAAGACGCCGCCGACGCCCTCCCCCCCCTGGGCCCGCCCGTGTCCATCAGCGGGTCGCGCCCGCCGGCTGACGTGTCGGGCAGGAGCCCCCCGGAGCGCGCGGCGGCGCCAGGGGCGCGCTGGTCTCCCTGCGCACCGCGCGGGGGAGGGGTCTTCCTCCTCCTCCTCCTCCTCCTCCTCGTCCTCCTCTCCTCTCCTCCTCCTCCTCCCTCCTCCTCTCCCTCCTCCTCCTCCTCCTCCTCCTCCTCCCCTCATCTTCCTCCCCCTCCTCTTCTTCCTCTTCTTCCTCCTCCTCCTCCTCCTCTTCCTCCCCCTCTTCTTCTCCCCCTCCTCCTCCTATTCCTCCTCCTCCTCCTCTTGTTTTTCTTTTTCCTCTTCCTCTTCCTCATCCTCCTCCTACTCCTTTTCCTGTTCCTTTTCCTCCTCCCCCTCCTCCTCATCCTCCTCCTCATCATCCTCCAGGTTTGAGGCTCTTGGACGTGTCTGGTCCTTCTTGGGATTCCTCAGGACCTTGTGCAACTCCTCTGGGCCTGCTCTTGTCATGGTCGGCGATTCGCGCGCTCGGGGATGGGGGTCCTCCTCCTCTTCTCCTCCTGCCCACGTGATTTCAGGTATGCGTGGTGGTGGTGATGCCAGCAGGGGTGAAGGTCCATCAGGACAGTTGCTCATCTCCGGGGTAAGCGCCAATGCTTGGATCAGCTTGGAGGGCCTGAACGACTGGTGGTGCGATCGAGGGCGCGAAGACAGCGCGGATGCTGTGCCCTCGCTTCTTGATGCCTCGCCGCAGCTGACGTGAATTCAGGGGACTTGGGTCAAGGTCGGCCACTTCGAGGAGGAGGCCTTGGCACGGGGGCGACAGTAGCAGCTGCACTCCTCCTTGGGACCGACGACTTCGACGGGCCCAGGGCCGACGGCGAGTCGCGGCGGCGTGGCTGTCGGCGAGGCCCCTCGTATCGCCTCGAAAGGCATCGTGCTGCCCGAGGGGCTCGAGCCGTGTGCTCACCGCATCGCGGTTCGGCATGTGAACGTCGGATGCTCGACGGGTCTGTTCGTGATGTATAGCTGCCTGTCGGTGAAGGAGGGCGTAGAAGGCCCAAACCAACTGGGACCTACTGCTGAGGCTCTCCGAGTTCCTTCTCTCCCAGGACGCACCGCGGGTGATCCAGGGGGACTGGAACTGCACGCCGCAGGAATTGTGCGATTCGGGATGGCTGAATACTTGCGTGCGCGCCTTAAGCGAGCCAGGTCAGCGGACTTGCTCCGAGAGCGGATCGGGGAGGATGGGATTAGGAAATGGGTGAAGGTAGAAAAGAAGCTTCACTTATGTTTGGCTGCTTCTTAGAAGGCGCCGGCCTTACATCTGTAGAGAGGGCCCGCGCCTTCTGAGAAGCAGGGGTGCTTCTAAGAAGCCTTCCCCCCTTCCCCTGCCCCCCTCTGCGCGCCGCCTATATTTGTGGGAACTCGGGTCCGTCGACACTGTCTCAGAGCTTTCGCCGTGCTGCCAGCGGCTCCCTCGTGACCTCATGCTCCCGTGGTGGCCGTGTTTCGGCGCTTGGTTGCGAAGGCCAGCTTCTCGAAGCCAGCGCAGTTCAAGTTTTTCCCATCGAGCCATGTTTCGAGCCCATTTGCTACCTCCTGAGGGCGGTTGGCGTGGAGATTCCGATCAGGTTCCAGGAGATCTTCCAGGGGCTGTTCGGGAGAGGTTCAGCAACTCGGGGGCCTGGCTGGGAGTGCCGCGTGGCATCCCCCGACTCCCGAAAACAGGCCTACGAGGGGCGGTCTTCGGGGCCTCACGTCGAGCAGGCTCCCCTGGCCATCCTTTGGGATAGGAGGGCCTGCCATCGTTTCGGCTCGTACACGACAAGATGTATGGTTGCGCTGGGGCGCGCCCGTCAAGCGGGGCATCCGCTGTCCCCTGGGCATGTCGGGGCCAAACGTCGAGGGGCTCGCCACGACTGGATGGGCCCGCTCGGGTGCCTGCCGGTGCCCATGTTTGAAGGGGCCCCGGGACACACAAATCAATACACACAAATAAACATATTCCCCACATTTTCCCATAGTTTCTGGGTTTCTGCCTTCCCCCCCAGTTCCCATATTTTCCCATCTTTTCTGGAGAATCGACGATTAATTGTGTCTGTGTGTTTTTTCCCTCCTGAATGTTCCCCGTCGATTCCCCGCTCAGTCAGTGGAAGGATTCGGAGAGCGGGGTGGAACTCCCGCCAGAACTGTCCCTGCGCCAGTTGTTTGATCAACACCGTCGTGGTACAGCAGATGGAGCCGGTGCTCTGTGGTAGCGATGGGGCGAGTACTGCGCGTGTCTCCAGCGGTGAAGGACATGGGTTAAAGAGTCGGCAAAGACAGGGGGGGGGGCTGCTCACGTCTGTGCTGAAAGGAGGTCATGGAACCCTCCCATCTTGAGCACGGGTTTGGAGGGCTCCCTGTTGACGGTGATCAAGCGATCGCGCATCGGTTGGATGTGTGGCTTCCGGTGTGGGCTCCGAAGGGACGCGAGACTCATCGCACACGAGACTGGGGTACAGGCGACTGCAATCTGCCCCCGATAACGATCGAGGCCCTCAGGGTGTGGGAGTCTGACTTGGAAGGTGCATGTTGCGGCTGGGACAAGTTCCGCGCTGAAAAAGTCCTCCAGCTGCCACCCAGGTACCAAGTTGGGACTGCTAGTTTTCTCCAAACCTTCGGGGATGGTCCCGAATGGATCCTGGAGCGGGTCACCAAAATTTCGTGTATCCCTACACCTGAAAGGGGGGACGAAAACGATTAGGTTGCTGCGGGTGTTCGTGAAAGTTTGGATCACGGTTGATGACGAACCAATTGATCTAAGTTGCACCTCCTCTCGTTTAGGTCAAACCTGCGCGCATGCAGGTTCGGACAATGTTCAAAACCTGCGCGCAAGGAGGTTATGAGAGTTGTCGTCTCGTCTTCTTCATCCTCGTGATGGCGTTGATGATGACGGCGATGACGGCGTGACGGCGACGATGATGATGGTCATGACGGCGATGATGAGGACGAATATGATGATGATGTTGGTGACAGTGATGATGGTGGTGATAATGATGGTGATGCTGGTGTTGGGGATGATCGTGATGATTATGGTTTTGACTCGCGGCGTTGAATGCATCGCGCTGCCTCTGGTCCGAAGGCCGCAGTCTGGAAGCCCCAAACACATGGCTGTAAGCCTCTGCGGCCGCTCCCACCTCGGCGAAGGAGCCTCTGCTGCCGCTGCTGCCGCTGGCCACGCAGCAACCTGGCCGAAAAGCCTTCGCAGGACACCCGCCACCTCTACTTTGAAGGGGCCCTGGGACACACAAATAAATACACACAAATAAAATAAACCCCCATATTTTCCTATATTTTCTTGATTTTTGTCTTCCCGCCCAATTCCCATATTTTCCCATATTTTCTGGGGAATCGACGATTAATTGTGTCTGTGTGTTTTTTTCCCTCCTGATACTTGTGCCTCTCACGTCGGAAGCCTAAACGAATTGCGATGCCACTCTCTGTTGTCCGCCTCAGCCATTCACTCCACAGGTTGCTCGGGCGGCGGCGGCGTGCGCACGTTGACCGGCGGCGAGTCGGGGAGGACGGGCGGCGGCGCGCTGGGCCCGTGAACGTCGACCAGCATGCCGCACACCAAAGGCCGAAAATCGCCTCGGGCGGCGGCGCTTTTCACGCGCCCCGCAGCGCGGGCGGCGCCTGAGCCCCCGCGCGCTCGCGAGCCGCGCCTCGCTCGCGGCCGCCTCCGCAGGTGCGCGCACGGGCCGGCGCGAGCGACTCCGAGGCGCGCGGGGACTGGCGCCGGCGACCCTGGCCGCCCGCCGAGCTCGGCCTCCGCGGCCGCCTCCCTTTCGTGGCCCCCTGCTGCTGCGATTATATCGAGAGGTGGCGCCCTGCGTTCCGCCCCTCCATGTAGTCGTCGTTGGTTATTGTGTTCTTTTGTTTGCGCATGTGGGCCGTTGCTCGACGGCGGCCGAGGCGCCCGACAGGGCGGCGGCGACGGGGGGCCGCGGCCGCCGCAGGTGGCAGCGCACCTGGATGCCCGACCAGTGGGGGCATCGACTGGCTCGACGAGTGGATGGCTGGCCAGCGGCGAACCGTCGCGCGAATGCCACTTGGAGGAGCGCGTCTCTTCCATCGACCGCGCAGTGGCCTCGGCGGCCCGCGCGGCCCCGACTGCGGGCCCGCGCGCGGGGCTCTTGCCCAAAAGGGTCAGCCAGGCCACTCCGTCGCGCGCGTCCTCGAGGGCGCGGCGCACCTGGACGGCCGCGCATCGCGGCGCATGCTCGACCGCGGGGGCACCGAGCAAAGCGCCCTCGGGGACAACTGCGCAAGCACCTCTTCGAAGCTGGCCATCTCGCCCGAGCTCCGACCGCGCAGTCGGCGGTTTCTCGCGCAGGCGGCAACTTTCGACCTCGCCTCGACCCCCCTTTTCGAATCTCCACGAAGAACCGGGCAAACCGCCCCATGGACGCGGCGCGCGTTTTCATCCTCTGGGCGGCGCGCCCGCCCGGGCAGAAGCCCCCGAACGCGCGGCATGTTCATCGGAGGCGGGGGGCAGCTGGCAGCGCTCAGACCTTCGAGCCAGATGTGCTTCGCATGGCGGAAAGGAGCGAAGGCGCGGGGCGCCGGCGGGGGGGGCGGGGGTCCAGGGGGGCCAGGCAAGGCGCGCGCGCAGAGAAGGCGAGGGCGAGGGCGGGGGGGCCGAAGGAAAGGACGAGGGGCACTTCAGCACGAGCGCAACGAGGAAGCGAGAGGCAGCGATCGACGGGGGGCGCAACAGAGGAAGGGGGAGGAGGGAAAGAAGAGGCCACGATGCTAAAGCAGCGCGCACATCGCCCTCCGCGCACGCCAGCACCGCCGCGCGTTCGAGACATGCAGGCCGAAGCAGCGTTAACCTCATGTGACTTAGATGCATCGCATCGCATGTGGGTGATCCCCTCGTGAGAAGCTCTTCAACATAGCAAACATCGGGTCTCCTTGGAAGTGTGCCAGAGTGTGCAGAACTGGAACGAATGGCATCGAAGAGCCACTATGTCCGCTGCAACTGGTCCCGAGGCATGTGCCCCTTCCACCTGTCGCCCAATGTGATCGGGATTTGCTGCTCGATGTC